GGTGGGAAGGGATAAATTGGGAGTTTGAGATTTGCAGATACTAACTAATGTATATAAACAAGTTTATACTGTATAGCACAGGGAACTGTATTCAGTATCTTGTAACTTGTAGTGAAAAAGATTAAGAAAATGAATATATGTATGTTCATGTATGACTGAAGCATTATGCTGTACATGAGAAATTGACACAACATTGTAAACTGACTATACTTCAATTAAATATATGTATATAAAAAAAATTTAGCATCTAAGTCTCCAGCATGGTGGAATGGAGCAAGGTCCTGGGGAGGGGGGTGGTCCCCCTGGCATTCTTCTAGTGAACCACTTAAGTGTTTGGATTCTTGGAAGGTTGGAGTCCTTGAGGGAGCAGTTACTTACCAACTAGCATAGAAATAGTTCAGTATTTAAATGGTTGGTTCAACTGTACAGGTATGTACCAATGGAGCAACAGCCCGGCTGGTAACAATATTTAACTTCCTGCTTCAGTGTTTTGATGAACCGGCGGGGTTTGTCCCCTCTCCAGACAGACACCCACAACCAGCCAGAAGGTGTCCAGTAACAGCCCATCCCATAGTTACAGGTCCTTGCTTGGACACCACACAGAAGCAAGAGTATTCTCAGATAATTTATTCAGAATTTTCATATAAACAGGTAATTATCCCATATTTTACATGCAGAGCAATTTCAATATCCAAAAAACAAAAAGGCATATTCTATACATGGTGCTACTTGGCTCTTTTAGGAAAACATTGAAAAAAATTAGAATTGAGCTTTTGGTGGGTTTTGTGTCTCCGAGTCGTTTTCCGCCTAAGCCGAGGCACATTTGATCCTGCGTGGCTGACGGCGGATGGGTGTCTGCTGCTGACACGCAGGGCCTGGACCCCCCCACCAGGCACACAAGGTCAGCAGAGTAAACAAGCCATTCCTGAACGTGTGTGTGGACGTACATTCTTGGCGGGGAGATGGGTGGGTGTTGCCTTCCTTCTCAGATGGGACCAGGAGCCCCAGAGTCATGATCTGAGTTTCAACAAGGATTTTTAGGGGCCACACCCAAATAAAAATGTGGCTGGAGGCTGGTTCTGAACCTTGACTGCTATGAGGTGACAGTGAACTCAAAAAGTCATTATTTCCCTCCCTTTCTGGGGGACCTCATAAGGAAACATTCACCTCCAGTTGCAGCCTCTGAACATCCATTGCATTCTTTCATGTGTTTGAAAGAACAAACGCCAATCTGTTCTTTGCATTCCCAACAATACTCTGAAGAACATTCTGGAAGGTTTTCTGAAGGTACACCATCCTACGTGCATCATTTCTAAACAATCAGCATTTTCCTATCCCCCACTCCCAACAAAACCATAATTTCTAAATAGTCTGAGGTGTCAATGACTCACCAAGTGGCATCTGAGAGACATTTAACCCCCAACTTCCACCCACCACGAAGTAGAAAAAAGATTGTCATTGAGGGCACAGCACACAGATCACTTATGCAGGTGGCTAGCACGGGCCAAGCCCTGACAGTGTTCCTGCCCACTGGCCAACGTTATCGCTGCTGCCAAGGAACATCTCCCAACCCAACAAGCACGTTTCACGGCAGACCGTCTGCTCTGGCTGGAGGAAGTGGAAGATCTGTCCATCAGTTGGTGGCAGTCCCCAACCACCATGGAATTGTATGTGCAGACCTTTGCATCAGTTTTCTTTCAGTTGTGCTCACTGTCTATCCAGAGAACCAGCAGCATTTCACCCCTTTCTTACCAGCTTAAAATGACAGAAAAGCACCCTGGACAGCTCCCAGGATACAAACATTTCCAGATGTGTGTTTGACATCACTGGTCCAGGGAGAAACCACTATGTGGATTTTGCCACACAAATAAAAAAGAGTTTTAGAAACAGCAAGACATCTTTAAAAACACAAACAACAAAAAGCGTCAACCAAAGCTGGCTTTGTTGCTTTTTTTCTGTAACCCATCACTACAACCCTCCAGGACATCCATGACTTCCTAGGACCAAAATTCTGTTGTTACAGAGTGAGTCAACATTATCTGATGTAAAAAGGAGGCAGTTATTCCAGGCTGCTTGCTCTTTCACTGCAGCAAGAGAGACAGCTAAACGAAGGCGGGGACATCCCGTTCACACAGGGCAGGCCCAGTGCTCTGAGGTACCTCTCCAGGACAGGTGGGGAGGTATGGTCAGGGCAGTGACGTCTGCTGAGGATGACGGCATCCCTGCTGGCCCTGCCCAGACTTAGCACATGGGCTCTCAAAGCCCCACAGGGTCAAATAATATCAGCTTGTGGTCAACCAAACCACAATACAGGGGTCCGAGGTTTTGTTGCTAAAAAATGCGTTCAGCATGGTGGGTTTTGGTTTGAGATTTCCCAACATGCCCCCTTTTCACTCAGAGAATAAAAGAGACACCACGTTGGGTGTCTGTGTGCAAGGTGCCCATGAGTGTAATTTGTTACACGCCCCTCTCCAAAAAAAAAAAAACTCAGCCTGAAAGGAATGGAAATAAGCCATGCAGAGCCCAGGGCACCTTGGTGGTCACACCAGAAGGATGCTGTGGGACGGGGGGGGTGCTGGCCCTGCATCACAGCCTGTCTTTGCCCCAGCCGGGGAGCGTCCCTCACCAGAGGATGGCACTCAGGCCAGGGCGTCCCCCACACATCAGATACATCATGATGGCCTGGAACTTGGTTCGTGTTTGGAGAGCACAGTGTCAATGGGGGGAAGATTAAATCCAGAGAAGAACATTATCAGCCAGAAAAAAAAGGATCTATGCTCATATGAAAGCCACACTTCAGCCCAACTCCCTCCCTCAAAATTCTTGCTGGTCCCTGGCATTCGGAATCAGCTGATGCAATTTTCCCTGATTCAGATCGGATCCAGGCAGAATTCTGAAGTCTCAAAGATGTCGATGATTGAACCACATCCTAACAGCACACTGAGGTAGACTGTGCTGGAAAAAAAATCATTAGCCCACATTCACCTGTTTATTTTTCTTTGAAAAAAATTTACATGCACTCCATTTTTTACGAAAGTGATTTTTACAGTGATTTTTATATATTAAAATAAATAATTTTTCCCCTAATATAAGAAAACCTTTCTGAATTAGAAAAATGTGAAAATTGCTGCTAGTGTAGTATATGGCCACTACAAATTTACTACAGAAAGAACAAAATACCTAGATCTACGGGTATGTGTTTTTTTAATTTACGTACAGACCCTCTTATATGTACAAAATAAATTTGGTGAAAATAATTTCTGTACTCTAGCTCCTTGTACCCAATCGCTGAGACTCCCCAGAAGTATTTTACATGCTGAGATTTCTCAAATCATATAAATAACAATAGGCAATTGGGATGTGTGTCTACCTGTGTCCTTAATCAAGAACTGAGAAGGTTCAGAGGTCGCCATTGCGTCTCTATCCTGTTCTTCAGCCCACAGCTCTTAAGAGAAGGAAGCAAGCAAAACCTTGTGAGAAAATGCACTCAAGGGATGACCCGTGGGTGACGATTTCGATGAACCAGAGTGAGGAGTTCACCGTGTTCTCTCTTTGAGCAGCTGTCATCCTCTCCCCTGAGGGAGGAAGCTGTGGACTCACGCCCACTCGGAAGTTCTCGGTAGCGCTGAAGGTCCTTGGTTTCTCCTGCAGACTCCACTCTCTTAGGGACTGCGACATCGTAAGCACCTGAGGGTTCGGCTCAGGCCCCACACCTGGCCCAGCTGAGGTCACTGGGCACAGAGCAGCTTCTGGGAGGTCAGTTTTGAGGACAGTCGGATGCCCTGAGGGCGGAGGGGACCGCAGGCACATCTTGCTTCATATTGCTAGTGTTCTCAGAGGCCATCCGTGCTGTCCCACTTTGGGGTCCGATTCTGTTGTGTTTGCACAGTAACTGTAGGACGTGCCCACCCAGTTGAGGAAGCCCAAGAGGTACACACAGGGGACCAGAGGATCCGAGAGCCACACGCGCGTTCGAAGGCAGGGCTCAGCTTACCCGAGCAGAAACCAAAGCATCCATCAAACCCAGTCGCCCACACCCTCCGCGTGGCCTCACCACGACGTCCAGAAGGGTTAGCAGCTAACGTGGCTTTATTCCCAGAAAAACAGATGCCTTTAAGACCACACCGAGAGGCCACTGGTGCCTCGTTCCCCCTCCCCACACAGGCAGACCAACCCACAAGCCCTACCCCCACCCCGGGAAAGGGGCAATAACTTAGGAGGCTGATGCTGGAGATTTCTTTCAAAAATTAAATATGTTACAAATATATTCTCAAAACTCTTATCATCTCAGTTTTTTTTT